TAGACTTGTGTACATTGAGGTTCTTCAGGTGTTCTCGAACCCAAGAGATGACATTTTCCCTTGAATCTCAGCAAAAATAGAGTTTTTTCTGCTACCCCTTCCCATAGGTGCATTTTGCTCTTTGAGGACAAAAGGGCTCTGCAGGTTGGTTGGCTTATCATATGTACACTATATATAAAATAATATAATAATAAATAAAAAAACAAATAACCTTGTTGCTGTTAGTATAGGCAGAATATTCAGTTTTTCTCTGTAGATATAGCTTAAAAATATTTACTAATGGTCTTCCATGCTATTTGTCACACAAAAGACATGTAGCAGCATTCTTGAAGGGTCATTGAGCACGAAACTAACTCCTGTGAGCAACTAGCATTCCATTAAGGTTTCTAATGTAACTCTCCCCTCCCCGCCCCCCCGCCAAGAAACAACAATGAATACCCACCTCTAGGAAAGAGGTATTTCCCAAGAGAATTTCTGACATTTGCAAATGCTTGTTTTCCCAGCAATTAATGAAGTCCTTACGACTTTTGTCATGCCCTCAGTTTTGTCTCCAGGAATACAACCTGAGTTTGAAATCCTGGCCCTTTTAACCATAAATGTAGCCCACTATATATGGCTTTTGATAAACCATTCCAAATGATGTGTTATAAAAAGTGCTTTTCTGGCCTACTGTTTTCCCTAGGACATAAAGAGATATATGGGTAATTCTCCTGATCCTGGTAGCTTTTCATCTAACTCTTAACGGATACTATAATGATGATACTCCTCAGGAAATATGATGTGATTTTTTTAATTAAGTCATTTCTCCAGTTTAGGCATGGATTTTGAAAAACCTGAAGGACAGGATCACTTAGATCCCCAAGAACGTTTCATCAATCACATGCCACATCAGAGGGTAAGGAATTATGGCTATGCTGTTTCATCAGTGATCTTAGTGGGTTACATGCTTCCTGTTAGGTACATTAAAATTGAAGGAGTTGAAGTCCTTTTCCCTACTTAAGGGAAACTATTAATGTCTAAATAGAATAATAAATAGATAGTCCTTTTACAGCTGTACATACTCTGAAACAGAAGGTTTAGTCTAAGAGAGAATATTCTACAGAGTTCCCTTTCAAAAAAAATGCTATGAATTCATCACAGAACCAGGCAGGAAGTTTGTAACAAGAATCTTTTCATTCTTATACCCCTCCCTGCTTTGGGGAAACAGTAAAAAAAAAACCCAAACAAACCAACAAAACCAAAAACCAAACCACATCCCCCCTCGCCCCCCAGTAAAAATGACACAATCATCTAAATGCTATGTTCTCCTGCTAGAAAGGAACAGAAAAAAGGAATAGCTGATGAAGCCTCACATGACTGCTGTCAGTAAGAAGTTACCTGCCAAGCAATTAGATCTTTGAGTCTATTCAGCTTTTCTTGATCTTCTGGATGATGTCTGATATATTCTTCTGTAAAGAAAGCCTTAGACAAAAAAAAAAAAAATTCAGTCCGTCATTTCAACAGGTAAAGAAATCAGTGATTACTCCATTGACTCCAGCTGGTGACCATAATATTGGTCATCAAGTAAGAGACATACACATGCTCCTTAACCAGACACTGCTAGTGATAATTCCTTATTACATCAGTTGAGAACTGAGGTGCTTTTTTAAAAAAAAAATTTATTCAGTCTTTATCCAACACTTCTGAGTTTGAGATCCTTACTATGAAACCTAATTATTGTTTGTTTTATTAAGCTTGCACTGAAACTAAAAGGCACAAATTTGGATTATCATGATTTACATTGGTAAATGATCATTTTATTCAAGTACCCTACTTACTGACATTAGCCAGTGTTATACAATAAAGAAATTGAACTCTTTCATAGATAAGCAGAGCCAGATATTGCATATACACAGCCTTTTGCTGCCCAAAGATTTTATCCCTCAGGTACAAAAGAAGAATGCAGCTATTTGTCCATGACTGCCAAATATCTAAACAAATTATACTTTAGGGCTAACACAGTATAAGTCATACTCGTCCAGAATATGTCATGCTTACCACATATAATTTATGTGTGTACATATATGGCATCTTTTCAGCACTATCCAAATCTATCTGACATGCTGAGCCTACTGATCATGACACATGCTTTTCATCAGGAAATGGCAGGCAGAAATAATAGAACTCTACAGCTGTGGCATAACCCCACATTCATTTTCATCCAAAACTTTAGTAATTTAGAATTTAAACTTATATGAGTTTTTAACATTCCTGCAGCCTTCACAAGGTGGCCTTAGGGACAAATTTTCTACAGTTCAGTTCCTCAAGACATTCCATTTTCCATGTGTTGCAAGAGCAGTTTGTATTCCCATTTTTTAACAACAAAAACCTGCTAAGCAGAATGGCTGCAGTTACTGAGAAAACCTGATGATGGTTTAATTGATAACCCACATCTAAATACTCCAGACCTGCTGTAGAATAAACTTGATTCATTTACTCCAGACCAAATCTTTTGATGTGTGAGAGCCTATTTCATTACAAAAGGGGTATTTTGTCTTACATGTATATGAAAATCCACATAACTGCAATTAGGATTGATCTTCAATTACTCTAGTTTGCTAGTTTCTGCTTTCAAATACAGATGTGACCAGGATATGAGGATCTCTTAATTGGTGGAGTTATGGCTTTCATATTCCCAGCCCAATTTCCACTGCCACTTTGAACAAAGGATGTAGGAGGATTATGAAATAATATATCTGAATATGTTCTTTGCATTGACTTAAAAGCTCTTACCTTCTCATATTTAGCAAAGCCACCCATAACAGCTGGATCAACAATTCCATTCAGAAGCATAGAAAGTGGGTTAATAGGAAGGTTCTCATCACTCTGGTATTGGTTAATCATCATCAAAATTTTTTCGTTCGTCATGGACATAGTCTCAATAGCATTCTCTAAAGGACTAATTGTAGTCTATAAAGAAACAAAAGACTTCTAAGGTGTATAAAGCAATAAAAAGTTCTTTTTCGTGTTATAAAACTTCACATATATGAACAACATTCTTACAATTCAGCATACCAACACAGAGTTGTTCAATTCTCTTAGGACCTGGTCCTGAAACTATACATCAGATGTAAGATATATTGATCCCAGCAATAGAAAGATAAAACATAACTGAGTGTATAAAAATAAGTAAATAACAATAGCCTTGTGTGATAAATTTGCAAACTATTTTGTACATGAGGATTCATATAGATACATGTTTTCTGGGTTCTTAGCATGTTAATACACACCTGTGACATGGAGACAACCTCAAACCATCGTAAAATTCCAGGAAGTTTGTATGCTGTAACAAATGACGTTCTCTCAATCCACATAGACTATTAAAAAAACATAGCAGGAGAAAATGATACTTCAGGATTTAAACTTTAATCTTTTCTGCCTTCTGAAATGTCAGAGTGAAAAGAATGTAGATGTAAAAAAAATGCACATTTTTGCATAAAAGTACACTGCAAAATGAATCTAGCACAGCAATTTGCACAAATCATTTTTCTTATTTCAGATTAGGTCATCTTCAGGCACTAAGCCTGCACAAAGCAGAGGAAAAAGAAAATTACCCTTGAATCTTTTAGTATCTATTTCTATTTTTGCCATTACAGATTGAATGACTGTGACTAAATCACCTACTCTCACCTCTACCCAGGTTATACTTCCTCCCTCCACTTTCGAAACATATTTCTGCAATTAAAAGCAGTAACAGCCCAATAACAACTTGCCAACATTCTTCCTTTTTGTTTTTCCTTTCTTCTTCCTCTTCTTAATAAGACTAGCTGTTGGTATTTTAAAATGTCACTAGTTCATTTACCCTACTGCTCCGTATTTTACCAATATCAGCTCATCTAAACTGCCAGTACTGAGAAACATCATAATGAATGCAATGAAGACATACTCCAACTATCCCAATTTCCACCTATCTGAAGTAAGTATGCGTATTATCTATTGTCATCAGCAATGAAAACATTAACGATTTAATTTTTGTAAAACAATTTCAAGGTATATTCATAAATGGTTTCAAAACTCTCCAGTCTGGAAAGGAAGCAAGTGTGCATTGTGAGTCTTGATAATACAGAGCAAAGCTGGGATGTCAGGGTAGAGTTTGCATCTGAAGCATTTAATTTAACAGCAGGTAAGAAGCTCCTTATATGAAACTGTTGACACTGCTAATCAGCAGGCACATAACTGAAATTGTACATTTTTGAAATAAATGGCTTTTCCCATCAATATCCCAAGAGGACAGCTTTAGGCATAAATGTTGGATGGTATGTTTTTCACAACAAACTATAAAATACCAGATATTTGTAAAATTAAAATATAGAAACTTACCACATTTTTATGCATGACACTGAAAAATAATTTATGGTATTGCAGATTTCCTAGAATATTTGAACAATGAAGACTATTTCTTAGCATTACACCATTATGCATGGGAATAAAAATGACATAGGTAGTACTGTACTCTGTCAAGATTTCACAGGACTGATGAAAGCAGACAACACACACCTCTCATTGCCAAGCTGGCAGTGGACAAACCGTTGTAAACTACAAGAGGCAAACCATTTGATATTTATTTATATGTCACCTTGTTTCATAATGAAAATCTGTACCAGAAAACGTTACTGCTTAACACAAATGTATTGAACATACTTAACTACATAATGTTTACCTGCAATTCAAACAGTGATGTATCATTAAGTACATAGGAGTAGTGCTGAAAGAGAGAAATCTTGCATTTATTTTTTTGAACCAGATCCTAAAGTTAGGGTGTCTGTAATGAGTAATCCAAGACTAAGAAAGGATCTAGATCAAAATTCAGTCACAGCTACCAGAACTGCCTCCATCATCCCATCATTTATCTACTTACAGCAAATTCATTCTCAGGGTCAACAGATCCTTTTCTGACTGGTCTGGAATAGTGGAATCGGTGCACATTGTTGGACTTATAAAAACTGAAAGATTTTAAAAAGACTATTGTAAAATACAGAATTCAGAAATTTATGGATCTTGTTATCACAGTGAAATATTTCATTTTGAGTCATTTGAGTTTTTAATTAAAAGCAAATTTACTGCTCAGAAGAAAAGCACTTTACTGAAAACTCAGGTGACAACTACTTTATCAATAAATCAGGGTCAACACACAGTATTTTGCAAGTATTAAGCTTCAGCTTGTGACTGGGTGTAATTTCCAGGTATAAAAACTCCAGAACTTCCAGATTAATGTTAAAAACTACAGAAGAAGGTCTAGAAAAGATTTTTACTTTCCTGTATTCTTGCTGTGGCATGCACACTGCTTGCCTGCTTCAGTGGCATACGAAAGGAGTATATTTTGTTAAAAATGACTGAACAGAGTGGACAGATTCATGAAACACATGTATGTTTTCATCCATGGTGCATGCCAAATCAGTTTAATCACATCTAACAATTCTGCTTACAATGTGGAACAATAGTTATTCAATAAACTAAACATTTGAAGCCATTAATAAAAATTTCTTCTGATAGATAAGAAAATGTATATAAATATTTGTAGGGGGGAACATCAATGAAAAGAATCTATTGCAAAGTCATGTTATGGTATATTCTATTTAGCTAATGAATTGTTCTCAATCACTGTGAGCGTGTATTTCCACTAAATTCATAACCACATGGCTTCTAGTACTGGCTAATTTGAAAGAACCGAGATTGCACAGTTTTGGCTAAGTATTTCGCTGTCCACAGAAAAATCTCTCCTTTTGGTTTTTATTTTTTGTTTTAAAGATGAATTAAATTGAAAGCCATGTTAAGTAAAAGCTAATTTTGCAGAGAAAAAAAGATATCTCAGAAATATCTCATAGTAAAAACTAAGCCATGCTTTGGAAGCCTGGAGAAACTAATCAATGGAGACACCCCAAACAGTTGAGCTATGCAAACTTCTGGTATGTTAGTTCATAGGAACCTGTGATTTCTGATCCAAACTACTAGATTATCTTCATCAATAAAGAAAAGAAAGTGGAAAATACTGTCATACTGCATCAGATCACTTTATACAGTACCATCTGCAAGGACAGATATTTTGAAGCTCTCTGATAGAATGAACACATTGCCATCAACTAATGTAACTAACAATTAAATGCCCAATAAAGTACAACCATAAAAATAAATCTCTAAGACCAGATGAAATTAGAAGTTTGGTTGAATTCTGCAGCTGAGATAAACAATTACAAAATCTCCCATATGACAAGAGATTGTACTTTATGTGGAGCACTTTGCTAAATAAAACTGTTACAAACTCAAAATGTGGCTGGCACTACACTGAAATCTAGTCAAACAGGACCAGATTTATAAGCTCTCTTTCAGTGACTGATTTTAAAATGTATTCAAGCCGAAATTGGGACCACAGTTCATTTTTTGTTGGTGGTGGGTTTTTTTGTCTGTTTTTAATCTTGTAGTACCAGACCTGTGTTTGTATCTGCTTTATTTATTTTATTGTATGTGGGGACTTGATTCTTATTTTTCCACTCTGAATCAATTGCAATTTCAGTAAGGATTTTACAGAGAAGGCTGCAGACAAAGGTGACATCTGGTTTGAATCCAGCTGTGGAACAGTTAGAAATGAACTCATCTCAGCTGATAAAAAGAAGCCTCTAATCTTCAGTCTCTTTTTGGAAAGTCATAATAGAAGTGGTGTTAAAGGGTTTAGTCTGAGTTTTTGTTTGTTTAAGTGTGGAGGCATTGCAAAGCCTCTCTTGCATTAAAAATGCAAGTGCCTCAGTTTACCTGGAGAAATTTTAGCTTAAGATGCCTGTTTTAACCAGTTTCAGTTAGGGAGATACAGTCACACCTTGCGCTTTCACAAGGCACTGACAAGACTAGGGAGAAAATATGGCCTGCCTTAACTGATGGTGCTTGTACTTTTTTGCTGTCCTTAAGTTACAAGCTAACAAATACTATCTTGAAATTTTTCATTCAGGTGTTAGTGATAAGCAACAGCTTTTATTGACCATGTTTGCAACCATATAAATCATAGAATGGTTTGAGTTGGAAGGAACCTTTAAAGATCATCTAGTCCAACTCCCCTGCTGTGGGAAGGGACATCTTTCACTAGATCAGGTTGCTCAAAGCCCCATCCAGCCTAGCCTTGAACACTGCCAGGGATGGGGCATCCACAACTTCTCTGGGCAACTTGTTCCAACGTCTCAACACCCTCATAGTAACGAATTTCTTCCTTATATCCAATCTAAATCTTCCCTCTTTCAGTTTAAAACCGTTGCCCCTCATCCTGTCAGTACAGACCTTGGTAAAAAGTCTCTCTCCATCTTTCTTATAATCCCCTCTATATATTGATGGATTTGGAGCCGAAAATCTCACAAGCCTGAAGTCAGCCAATATTCCTACTGGATGCCAATATGTATGCAGTTTTGGCATTAGCTATTAGAATGAACCATCACTTTTTACACAGGTAGTCAGAACACTTAATTAGGAGCATGTAATAAGTTCAACCTATTCTACTTTGGGTTAGGAGTTTGGAAATGTTAACCAGTCTGTTCTCAAAATACTTTGGACATTTCTTTTCCCTTATTCCTTTACAAAATCTTGACCATAGTACCAATGGAAACCATTTTGCCACCATGTCTTTTGCACCTGGCAGCTTAAGTCATTCTGTTGTAGAAGAGCCTTCAACTCAACCATTCTCATACTGCCAGTCACCTCTAAGATCCCTGTCTCCACCACTTGTCTAAGAAGCTGTGTTGAAAACTCAGTAACTTGGACCCAAAGCACAGATTCCACCTCCCCACCCTGCAACAATATGCTATCCTTAAGTGGTAGATGGGTAGGTGTTATTTCAGGAAATTCCTAGGGAATACGTAGGTCAGTAAACTAAGACATTAAAAGCTCTAAGATTCACTGTCAAATAACTGAGTTCACAAAATAATGCTTGTCAGTTTAGGAATATGGCCTGACTTTCATTATATTATCTATTACAGAAATTCACTTACTTTATAATTTGATCAGGTACTGCCTTATTTTTGAATCTAGGTTGTTCCTCCAGGACTGGTTGCACTGTAAAACACTGGATATCTGAAATCGTGAAAGTTAAGGGCATGTTATTAATTATCAGTATGAAATATTGTAGGCTGTGGGGGAAATTAAAAAAAAAAAAAAAAGACAAAAAAAAAGACATTTCCTGATGAAAAATCTGCATGGTTCAGGGTTTCATTTGTGGAGTTTTCTTGGCCAAAAAAGGAAAAAATCTGCCAGTGGTAACCAGTGAATATATATTAATATTAATTTTGAACTGCATATTTTTATTATTTATTGATCTTAAATATCTGTAGCTGAATTTATCACACTGAATCATTCATTAAATTTTAAATCCCAGCTAACTTACAAAAACAACATCAACAACATGTTAACAGTTTCACTATTTAGATTTAGGCATGCATAATGTCATAATGTTTAGCATTTCATCTTTGAAATCTGTAATTGAGCAGCCCTTTTTACTGCAGATTTCCTTTTTCTATGGAAGTGTTAGTTTTTAATCTGAATACTGTATTTTTAAGTAAATATATCATATTCTTAACATGTTTCAGTATATTTGAAACTGATGACCTCTGGTTAGATTCAGTAGCTTTTTTTATGCATATATGCATAAGTAGTGCATATCTCCTGTTAGTTGCAAATAGACGAGCAAATTCTATTTTAAGAAAGGACTGAAGCATATAATCTCGAAAAGAAAAAAATAGTTAAGACAGAAGACAAACTTATGACAGCATGGCTCTCAAGCTTAATGTACTATTTTAGACAAGCCTGTAATACTCTCTGCTTCAGTCCCAACAGTGTGAAAATAAAGCAGTATGCTTTTTCTCCTCCAGCAGGTACCATCAGAAAAGACTCAAGAAAGCATGTAAGGTCTTAACAACATTACCTTGAAAATTAATAAAGGAAAATCAACATGTGAAAAAAATGCCTGACACAATGAGGTGACCTCATATCTGCTCAGCCAGTAATGATTTAAATCAGAACATGAAGAAAAAGATAATGTATGCAAGCAACTCTTAGAATACTTCTAAACAAGCATAATTTAGAGCATTCTAAACTGTGGTTAATGATGTTTATGAGTTAATTTTCCTAGGAAAATTTCTGAGAGTGACATAAGGCATATTTATGTTGCCAGGAAATACAGGTGACCCCCAAGCGCAGTGCCAGTCAGAACAATATTCAAGGAAGACATGAATTTAATCTCAAGACACAACAGCTAGGAACGTGAGGTAATAGACAATTTGCTGCTTTAAACTTGGCCAATTCAAGTGTTTATCACTGTTTTTGCCATTTGAAGAAAATAAAGGTAAACCATATATGAACTTGAATGAATTTTCTTCACTGAAATGGCTACCAAGCACTGGAACAGGGTGCCCAGGGAAGTGGTTGAGTTACCACCCCTGGAGGTATTTAAAAGACTTGTAGACATGCCACTTAGGTACACAGTTTAGTGCTGGACTAGGTTGATGGTTGGACTCAATCTGAAGGGTCTTTTCCAACCTAAATGATTCTATGATGACTGAAAAAGACAGACCCCTTAGAATTGCGAGGAAAAAAAGGAGCAAACATCTTAGGAACAAGCCATAAAAGACAGGCAGAACGTATAAGTAAAAGTGCAAACCAAGCTGCCACATTAATAAACTTTCATCCTTTTTAGGAAATTATTGTTCCACACAGATAACCTCTTGCTAAAAACAAGGTTTCCCCAACCCTGCCTTCATTCTGTAATCTCCCATGTGTTCAAGGATACATTGACCAGGAGAGTTTTTCACATCCTCTCCAGGTGCTGAGGTGGTGTTCATCTTCTCTGCGCTGGGAAACTGACTCATCAGCTGTGCCTGGAAATCCTCTCTCCTCTCATATTCCTTCCCACGATAGATGAATACTTTGTTCTGCAAGGAATAAATAGCTGATTTCTTGGGCTGTATGATGCTGAGGCAGAAATTATAGATGCATGCTTATCAGTACAAAGACAAAATGGGGTCTCCAAATTTTGGAAATAGTGTTACTGTTTTCTGAGTATTAATTAACTGTAAAGCAAGACACCATTCTCACCAGGTGCTAGAATGCAGCACTGACTCTCCAGACACCCCTCTTCATGCTGTTGGACAGAATGAAGATAAACTGGCATCACCACTGCCCTGGTTTCGGCTGGGATAGAGTTAATTTTCTTCCTAGTAGCAGACATAGTGCTGTGCTTTAAATTTAGTATGAGAATAATGCTGATAGCAATAACTAAAACATCAGTGTGTTAAGTACTGCTTATGCTAGTCAAGGACTTTTCAGCTTCCCATGCTCTGCCAGGTGCACAAGAAACTGGGAGGGGGCACAGCCAGAATAGTTGATCCAAACTGACCAAAGGGCTATTCCATACCATAAGATGTCATGCTCAGTATATAAACTGGGGGGAGCAGCAATCGCTGCTCAGGAACTGTCTGGGTATCGGTCAGCGGGTGGTGAGCAATTGCATTGCGCATCACTTGCTTTGTATATTGTTATTATCATTATTATATTGTTATTATTATCATTACTATTTTACTTTATTTCAGTTATTAAACTGTTCTTATCTCAACCCAGGAGTTTTTCTCACTCTTACTCCTCCGATTCTCTCCCCTATCCCATCGGGGTAGGGGGAGTGAGCGAGTGGCTGCGTGGTGCTTAGTTGCTGGCTGGGGCTAAATCATGACACCACTGAGAATGCTCCAGTGGAGCAGAATAAAATCAGAATGGGAGGTAAGAAAAGTACTGAAATTCCTTTTCTTCTTATCTGTCAAGTAAAAGGATTTGCTATCAAATACATTCTGGGTCCAGCTTTCACAGCTTTCTAATACCAATATAGAGGTTTCCTCTGCCTGCTCCTTCTCCTTGGTATTATGAAATGTCCTCATTTACAACAGCCTAAGCCCAAATGCGCTCACTTGTGGTTCAGTTTGCTTCATTTAACAGGGTGCATCTATAATAGCAAAAACAAAAGGTGCATGCTTCCTTTGGTGTAACATTAGCATATAGTTTCACTACTATTCCAATGTTTTCAAGTCAACTTTGGCCTTTAAAACTGGGAAAGAGAGGTCTTCCATTGCTTTTCAGGTGTGAGAAAAGCTACCATATTCATTGTAGTATGAAAGAAAAGATTTTTCTTCCCTACAAGAAAACATCAAATATTCAGGTTACTTTTATCCTCTGAAGACATGCACTACTGTGGTTAAAAGAAAGCAATGATCTTTTAAAAAACTAAAGTAAAAGCCAGTTGTGCATGACTTCCTAAGTTTGGCAGGTTTCTTGAAAAAACAGACCCTTTGGATTCCTGATTTCTCACATGGCAGTCAAAAATGGAGAAAAGAAAACAGAGAGTAGATTCAGTGTATAGAAGTCTGTTTAATGAAAACAGTTCAAACTTACCATAATTGTCCTAAGCTATCAACTAGCTGTTACCATTCAGGAAAAAACGGAGAGTGATACAAGACAGTTGGTATGAAAATGTCAGCCTAATGCATATTAGAGATCAAAAAAGCAATCTGAACTTCAGTCATTTTGAGGAAAACAGGAAAACAAAAGAAGAAACATCAGTATCACACTGAACAAATTCATAATGTATTGACATTTCAAATACTATGTACACTTCTTGTCCTACCATCTCATGAACTAGAAAATGGACGGCAAGGGAACTGGGATGTTAAAAGCTATGAAATGGTTGCTGTGGAAGCAATGTTTAAACAAACCAGGACTATAAGGAACAGTATGTAATGAACGGCATGAGGAAGGTGATTAAAGAACAACTGTCCTCTGTAAGAACTAGTGTGGAGAAATTATCAGATGACAACAAAAAGGCAAGAGTAAATCTCCAGCACACACACGGTTGTGTACTGTGAGGCCACAGTATGTTCTGGAGGGCATCAGTTCAGAAAGCAACTGGACAAATTCACCGCAGAACAATCCATGAAGGGCTAGAAAACAAAACTGTTACCTCCAACCCAGGAAGCTCTTTATCAGGTAAGTAGGAAATATTTACCAGCTCAGTATCACTACACACCTGCTCTATATTTACTCTTCTCTACCCTACCTATCTACTATTTTCCACTGTTAGAGACACAATATTTGGCTACAGAGTGCATTGGTCTGAAAAATGTGCTGTTTCTACATTCGTAATGTATTTCAGTTGTAGCTGAGAGGCAATATAAATCTGAAATGGTTGTCAATTAATGATAAGGTCCTCTAAAAATACCTACCTCATGTGAAACAGAATTTTGGATTTAATTTGAACACAAGTTTGTTAATGACATTCTACTAGTTATCAATAACCTATGTGGGGGCTCATCTAAGAAATATATACCATACAAGCTGCCCATACCATATTACATCATATTGCTGCATTTGGCTCTCATGTATCACCTTCACTACCTGATAGATCTTCCAGTTTCCACAATCAAACTAAGACAAAGAATCAACTTAAATGCATCTGAAAACATTTCATGCATGTTCTTAGAAGTAATGATTCAGATTTTGACTACAGTCCTGCATCCAAGCAAAACTAAATCCATGGCAAATATCCCCAGAGACTCACTTGCATAAGTAGAGTACACTCATATTTTTAGAAGCATGTGAAAATAGATGAAAAAAGTAAGAACAGAAACAAATTTACCCTTAGAAATGTGGGGAATCCTTGGCCGTAATACCCAACAGCAAAATAGTCTGGTTTAGGTCTCAGAATTTTCATGATGTTTTCATAGAACTTTGCTTGTTGAATCTGAAAGCAAAACCAACTGCAATGACTTCTGTTTGGGTTCTTTTTCCATTTATTTTTTAATCTCTACAGTAGCACTATGCTATGTACTACAGCTATCAGTGGGTATGCAACAGCTACCCATTATCAGCTGGTAAGCTATAGCAATAATCAGTTAGCATGCACATGACACTGCTGCGGTACATTAAATATTGTTTACATTTATATGCAAATATAATACACAGCTAAATGTGGTGGCTTCAACTTTAATCGTTTGACCTCAGAATCAGGCTTACCCTTAATTTACTGGCATGAAAAAAAGAAAGCAAACACCGAAGTCATACTTGGCACTTTACACTTTAAACATTTAACTGATAACATAACTGAAATAACAGATTTGGGAAAAACTCCCTGCCTCAAATATTTTCTGAGGTATGGATCAACTCAAACTTTTGCCCTAGCATCACGCTAAGAACACACGCCATGTAAAGCGCTTAGAAGAATGTCTTCCATAGAATACTAAGTGTCATTTAGCTTTACTATTTTTATTTCCTGTGTTATATCTATGAGACATGCAACACTGCAACTACAATGGAATTGGCAAAAATATTGTCTTTATCTTTTAGTTTATGATAAAAGCAGAATCAATTGGGAGGAAAAGAAGCTTTCTTTATACACACTTTTCAAGAACATCATGTTTTCATTCCCATCGTTTCTTTGTGGAAAATTCAGGGATATCTATTGAATGAACCCTAAAAATTTGTTAAAGATCATGCAAGTGTGGCATCTTGGGGGTAGAAAAAAAGAAGGTATGTGGGGGGAGGGGAGTCTTCTTCGATTAATTTAATTTTAATGAAAACAAACAATGGAACATTTAATCTTCCTTTAAAATCTTCCTTCTGGTCTTTGGGCCTAGTTCTAATTGCTTGTGATGTATTACTTCTCCCATCCCTGATTAGGACAGAATTCTTTAGGCTTGTCAAGATTCGAGTTCATAAAATTTAAAGAAATATTTCAGGGAAAAAAATGCATCCAGGTGCTTTTTCTACCCTAAAGCAGTACAAAGGCCTCAAAAACTTGTTATATTTCTTTTATACATGGCCTTTAAATTGCACTTAGAACATGTTTATTTCATCTACAGAAGTTTCAAAGTATCTCAATAAGCAGATGCCCATGGAACTCTAACAGTTATTTATGAATCTCTACCACTGGATTGTTACAATAAAACATAGCAACTCTTTGACAAATGAATTAAAAATCAATTGTAGACAACAAGCTCATAAGCAGTTCTATCATTTGATAGATCAAAAGTACAAATTTCTGTGACTGAAATAATTTGAAGACCTGTATATAATCTTACCAGGTTTTGACTTAGAAGTTCATAGTCAAAAACTTCCTTTTCATATTGCTCTGCAAGTTCTTTACATAAAGATATGGCTTCTTCCCACATCTGCAATGCAACCACATATTCAAAAAGTAAATCCAGTACCAACAAACAAGTTTTTAATGCTTCACTGTTTAACTACAGTTGTATTGATTATGCAATCTTGAAATTGCAGTCATTTATGAACTGCACATTTAGAATGGACGATTCAAGGCAATCATAAACTTTAGGAAAGCAGACTAATGTAAAAAATAGAAGTGTTTTATGGTTCACTACAGGAAGGGATAAGTAAACCTGTTTTATTCTTACAATAAGATAATAAAAAGACACCTAACCTTTCACATACATTAAAAAAGAAGAGTAAATCACTAAGGTGCAAAACATCCAGAATCTATATTCTGGAGCAGTGTATGAGGGGACTGACACCTGCCTCTCCTTAAAACAAACACACTTAATTTTACAAGAAATTCTGAAGTATACATAATCATAGGTAGCCTTGCACATGACAGCTCTCCTAGTCAGCTAAAAAAATCCAAGCCTTAAATTGCCACTTGCCCAGAGTAGCAGCTTCTTTCCACACAAATTAATAGCTACCTCTGAAAATTACTGTGAGGAATTACAGAGCTGCATTGGGAAGACTAGGATAGTTTTTCTCATCTGCTATAGGCACTTAATGTATACAGCACAGAACTGGTCCTCAAGCAGATAGAAACTCTCTTTCAAGGATATTTCTCAAATTCTGTCAGTCTTCTCATCTATTCAGAATAAAGGAGTTAAAAGGGGTTTTCTGAGAATAATTCTCTACTGATGTAAGGACACTGGTGGTCACACACATTATGACGATTTTTACATGGTGCCATGTGCTCCTAGGCTAGGCAGTTCTGAACCCGACAGCTCCATTCAGCTGCCTGCAAACCTCCTCTGATGTATCTGAGGAAAACCTGAATGCTAGCTAGATCAGAAATCATGAGGATTTGATTATTCTGATACAGTGGGTGGGGACTGCTACATTGTAGTTATTTCAGATGCCAACAAAAAAACCTGAGAAGTTATAAATAGCACTGCATTTTCCTGCACAGTGCTGAAGAACTGAAACCTTTCTACCTTCTGAATTATAGGAGGGACTTTTGTGGGGAAGTTATGCTTTTATTTTGCAAGAAGCAGCAATGAATTGCCTTCCCCCTTCACACCTTTGGCTACAGCTGAACAAGAAATAATGACTTAAAGGCCTCATTGGGTCATAAGATTCATTATCCAGCACTGAAGAATTTTCCCCTGCTTTCTAGTCCTTTGCTTTATTTCCAAAAACCTCAGCTCTACTGTCATTGTATTGACAGGCAATTTTATTAACAGATTTTTTTTAAAAAAAAGCTGAACTAAACCCAGGTACTGAACATCAAACTACTACATTTTAAGTTTGGGATGCAATTCTCAGACTTCTCTGAAACACATATGTCAATTTTGAACTGTCTGGTGTTTTGGGGGATAATGACCAAATGGTTTAGAAATGCAATCTGTGTAGTCCGCATTCTGTTCCTAGTAAAGGAAAGTACATTCAACATTTTTTATTATTTTGCTACTGCCTGACAGAGATGCTTGTTGTCTGTATAAACAGTAGCCCTCTTTCTTTGCGAATGTGGTTACTGAAAGAATATGTTCATATGGAGCAGATATACTCTGTGAATAAGCCTTCAGGACACAATTTTTATTTGACCCACATTTGAAAGAGGATTTCCTACACAAATGCTTTACACAGAGCATATTCATTAAATACTACTATACAAAGTAACACAGTAGAAAGAGACTTGGCAGGGGGAAGAACTCTACAGACCTACCTTTCCTTTGTCAAAGTATTCTATGATCTTCTCATACAGATTCTCTTTCAAGTGTCGATAGGTCTGTGAACACTGGAACTCTGTTGACATGACTTGGGGTGCACACTGTTCATCTGACCACTGAGAATAAAACCACATTAAAAAAAAAAAAAAGTTATTTTGGAGTTCAACATTTCACACACATGTCCCCTCTCCCCCAAGGTCTGGTCCCCTGGGCTCTTCAAAGTGGTTTCTTTCCCAGCCTTTTTTACCCTTCCACAAAGAAACTGGGAAAGGCACTCAGAATGGTTTTATTACCTTTTCAAACAAGTGCTGTATTTCATGTGATAACCAGGACTAGACATAACATTTTAAAAACCTGTGTTTGTTCCTGCTCCCCACCCCAAAATCCTGGATAAAAATCTATGTGAGAAAATCAGTTCATTTTATTTCAGTGGTGTCATCTTGACTCATTTGGGTTTGATTTTTTGGTATTAAAATATTTGCATATAGTATTATCTTTGTCTATACCAATACATACAACATACAAAAATATGAAGTATGATTAGAAAAGTCAAAATGAAGTTTAAGCAAAATAGCACTGTGAAAAGCCAAATTCATATGGTTCTGCACTAAAAGAAATTCCAGAAGAATTCTCAAATTTTTGCTGAAGAACATTTAAATTTTGAATTTTCCGTTGAAATGGAAATGCATGTTGCTGACCATTTCTATTGATAACATCAGCTACAATGACAATAAACATTAGTTGTAGCAAAAAATAATTACCAGCTACAAAAGAAAGCAACCATACTTTGGCAGAGTGATCCGTATTATTTAAAATGAAAAGTCAGATGTCCCCCTGTGATAGCTGGAAAAAATTGCATTTAATTTTCATCATTGCTACGTTTGGGATAGTAAGAAATTAGCAAAATGGAAACACATGGAAGTTAAATGGCTTCAGAATTTGCACACAATGTTCTCACTATAAAGTAAAACTATTTTTGCTACAATATTTCGTTTTACCAATATGTGGCTTTTAATCACCTATTGAAAATACAATTTCAACAACTAATGTTAATTTTGTATGACCTACTGCAGTACTTTTAACTAGAAACTTGAATACCCGTATGGAAAATAACTAATATGCAGTAAATCAGAGATTAAGACAATCACTTCTCAATTTATAAATTTGAAAATTGCAAAAACTTATTTATATGTTGAGTTTAGAAGATCTAACCTTCAAGAGCCACGTATGGAGTAGAAGGGTATATGCTGCTTCCGTGTAATTCTCACAATCTAAATGAAGATCTCGCAATTTATACAAATATCTGTTAGAGGAGAGAACAAGAATTAGACTAGATATTGACACGACCGGAACACTAAGTGTCAAAAAAGTTCTAGATAAACTCTGTAATGGAAACTTCACAGATGTCATGCAGTCACTACCTAAAGAGTCTTAAAGGACACTCTGAGAGGGGTTAAAGCTCTGTGCAGTTGTTCAGACTTTTCTGTTTTCTCTTTGTATGCTGAAACATTGTGTAGAAAAGGAGGAGAAAGAGCTAACCTCCTTCTGTGAATTGCTGTTAGCTCCACCCCTAAGAGGAAGAACTACTAGACTCAAGGCCTAAGTCAGACTCTGAGTCCATTATTTCTGGACTGTTACTAAAGATAGCTGCCTTTCTCTGTAGCGCTTTTCGATTGCATGTAAACACTTTCCATGTAAATAGATGCAAGCACAACAGATAACATAAAGGAGAAAACAGAAATGCCAGCCCAGAAGCCAAAGCAAGTCCCTGTACAACTTGGAAGGTGGTAGGTGCAAAAGAGTTGTTCTAAGTTACATGATGCCAGTGTTCTTTCTCCTTGATCCCTAGGGCAGCATTGCTGCTACTGGCACAACAATTGCCCGTCATATGACTTTAGCCACATCTTTTCCAGCAGCCAGAAAGCAGTGCATCCCATCCTCTTACACACAACAGGAGTTTTGGCACAGGAACTCTTGACACCTTGCTGTAGCAGTGCCAGGCATTACCACTGCCAGTTGTCAACTCAACTGAAAATGTGTCCCCCTCAGCAATGCCCACAGGGGGAGCGTTGTTTCTCCCTGGCCACTCCAGCTCATCGCTCTAGGTTTAGCTCTGAATCACCTTCAGTGCTCATTTCAGCTGAGATTCTGGGCTGCGTACTGCAGCGGCTGAGGTGCAGGTCATTATGCAGACTTTGCAGAATGAGAGGAGAGGCAGGAAATAGCGAGCTTTTGAACAGCAAGATTTGCTGCAGCTCATATGCAAAACTGTTGGAGACCGTAAGAGGCTGTGTCACATCTGAGAATTTGCCAGTATAGCTATAGCTCTTACAGAAAAATGCTTTACTAGTAATTCTGCATTGCATGTAGCATTACATATTTGAAGAGACTTGGCAGGCTGCACAATTCTACAGAACTTCAATGGTTTTTCTGACTTTCTAAATGTATGATACACCCTCCATCAAAACTCAAATCTAGCTGCATTTTCTTTATTTAAAACAATAGACACTGAATATTGAGTGATTTGATCAATGAAAAGATGATTCTTGGGGAAAAAACATGCTGATGATGAATACATATGATAGATTCCAAACCGCTGAAGGCTAAGCAAACAACGGAGTAAGAATATAAATGAGGCCAGGGCTACAACAGAGTCATTGTGGATGGTAAACTAACATTAAGTAACAGAAATCCAAGTACAATAATAAAACCAGAATTCGTAAGAGAATATTATTGCCCTGTCCAAAATAGATCCAACAGAACAACCGCCATACCTGATATACATCTCTTCACGGTTAATGTCCTTGTAGAAATTCTAGGGACACAAACATTTAAAAGTTATCTCCTAATGTCTTTTATTAAAATACAAGATAAAAATACATATGCTGAGGTTTTGCTTTTCTTGCTGGTTGAACAACGCAAGAAATATATTATCTACAGACTATCTTAAGTTTAAACCTGGCACTACTGCTTCAATTAATATTTTAATTAGCTATTAGTATGTGTTATTATTATACATACATGTGTATACCTCTCCTAGTTCACTAATGAAATCATTAGTGAAAGTTTTTCTGTTGGAGAAAAGGAAAATATGGTTATCCAAATGCACTAACATAATAAACTACATGCTCTGGTTACACTTAATGGCACGAAAAGAAGCCGGTATTTACTGAAGTTGATATGTAACACCGTTGATATGTAACAGTGTTGTGCAATACCTGTAAAGGGGCTAATTCCAGGACTAAAGTCCATTTTCGTCACCGTAACACTTTTGCAGGTATATGAGTTGCTAAGGCTGTGCAAAATGTATGACAAGCATTGCCTCCTGAGGAGTTGCAGAAATTTATACCACGTTGCGCAGTGATTACCAAGGAACAGAGAGTATGTGAGTGCAATGCGTATTAACCATGTTCTCTTTCCAACCTTCAAAGCTGAACAAAGGTTCCTCTTCAGCTTAGAGGAAGTTCCTGGTGGAGGAATCTCTATATGCAATATCCCCATTACAAAATAGGAATAGAAAAAATGACAGGCTGGCCTAGAACCAGATCAGAGACTCAAATCTTCTCGGCACCTTACTGCAAGTGTTTTCTTCCCCAGATTTAAAAACCATAATTTTTGAGTTGCTAAAGCAGCAAGTGGGTTAGTTCCTCATGCAAAACTTGATTCTCGGAAAAGCCCACTGTTACGTTATGCCTATCAAAAAGTAAAGGTGTAGGAACAGTAGACTTCCTTATTTATCAACAGAATCAAAGTGCATAAAACATACAAGCAAAATCAAAGAACTGAGTGGTCATTACTTTCAGGTTTGTGCATATATCCATGCAAACAGATATAAAAATCTCTTGCCCCAGAGTTCAAATCACTACTAAGCATTGTCAGCCACTCCTATCCCCAGGAAGATGTACCTTCATCTTTAGTAAATGGATTCTAAAGCTCTTCCCTATTCTCACACAAGAATTACAAGAGAGAACATACCAATAAGTTCACAGTGCAGCTCATGCGATTATCCTTGCTTTCATCATTCATCACAGTTCGGTAATCCAGCAGCTTCTCCAAGAGGCCTTTAACTAGGCTGACAAAACTTTCCACCAAGTTAAAAATGCCGGGATACTGACACGCACACTCTGTAAGACTGCAAACACACAAAAAAAGGCTTTACAATACTGTGAAAATTAGTGGCAACTGGAGCAACTGCTACATGTACTGAAGCCCTGCTTCCTGGGAAGTGGTAGGACATCGCCTGTTGATGGGAAGTAGAGAATAAATCTTTTGTTTTCCTTTGCTCCCATGTGTGGCTTTTGCTTTATTAAACTGCCTTTATCTTGACCCACAAGTTCTTTTCCATCTTATTTCTTCACCTGCCGTCCTATTGAGGAGGGGGAGTGATAAAGTGGCTTGGTGGGCACCTGGCGTCCAGCCACAGTCGACCCTAAATATACAAAGTAATTACATGTATATTTGGTATATTCTGTTAATAACATAAAAATTGCCATGTATTCTCACAGGAAAATAGTAAAAGCAAACAAGGAATTGCAAAATTATCCCTGAAGCTATGCTGTGTGCTTAAGATGAGCAGTTTCAGTGATAAATTATTATTAATTTCTGACCTCTTAGTGTTTCATTAACAGGACTCAATTTATAGGCAAATACATTTAATAATTTATTATTAATCTTTAAGTACGTTATTATTTGTAAAAATTTCATTATAAAGTATTAAGTTTTAATTAATTGCAAAAATAATTTTTTACTCCTCAGAATTATTTAGACTTTCTTCAGAAAAATACGTATTCATATTAAGTTCAACTGCAAAGAAATCCTCAAAGCTTTGGCCTACAATGGGACCTCAGTAAAGTACCCAGTCTCAAAGTTCTAAGTCCAGCAAAGTAAAAACAGCACCTAGTGTTTATTCCTTTGATTGTACAGATCCAACGTCGAACTATTTTGCTGAGACAGAGGGAGTGTATACATGCACGTCTGAAAATACATTTATATTGTACCTGATGCGACAGACAGAGGCTAACAGATAAAACCAGAATACTTTAATCACGGTTGTCTGACTAGTCTGAAACAATAACTGAAATATTTAAATAAATTACTGGAACACAGCTTATGACATTAAACATATTGCAAATGGAATGTTAAATACTGAAGTCTGAAGAGTTGACAACTGACAGAATAAGCTGGAGCACGTTAAATGATATTTGTGGAAAAGAAAGTAAGAAGGTCTCAGAACCATATAAAAGACTGGAATACTATACAGGAAAAATGGGGTTATTTTACACATGTATGTATCAGAAGTGGGATAAGATGCTAACAAAGGAATGTACAGTCACCATTTCAGTGACTATTATGAATTTTTGCCATAGGTTCACTTGGAGTGACAGCAAACAAGGCAGACCTATGAACTTTACTTGACTGTGAAATGAACATGAGTCACCAAGACATCACGCTTTCTTCCAATACAAGTACAAAAACATTGACATAAACCACAAGCTATTGCTAGATCTCACCCAGGATATAGTACTTAACTCCAGTCACTAAAGAAAGATGAACTGGAATACACATAGAGGAGAACTACAAAGTGAACAGGACAGAAGAATACCTGTCTCATGAGGGAAGATTTAAAAAGTTGTCTTGCTCAGCTTTATACAATAATCCCAATAAAAAGTACCCATAAAACTTCAGATTTCCCCTCCCCTCTCCCCCCCCCTCCCCCCAGGAGGGAGCAAGAAACCTTTGAATTTTTAAACAGAGCTTGAAAAAAATAGAAGTTTTAAAATAAAAAATATTTTCAATAAAGCTAGAGAAAACAACTGCATAACATGGGCCACTGCAATGATGGGGAACTGGAAAGCTTCAAATGCTCTTTTCTGCTGTGCCTATATTAGTAACTAAAACATGCCAGAATTAATTTGCTGAGCCTGAGGAAAAGTGGCATAGCACAACTTGTAGTTGTATAGCTAGATTCTTCTCCATTTCCCAAAACAGGGCAGCCTTGTCTATTCTGCCTATTGAGAACAGCCTCCCATCTGTTCCATATTATCCCAACTCTTCCTTGGTGTTGTCTGGGACAACATTCATTAGCACAGGTCATAACATTGCCATGGTGCATGCTATGTTTAGGACTATGGACAACTGCAAGGCAGTGATGAAACTTCTGCTGATCCTATTTAGTTCGTTGGGCATGGGGAAGTCCCCAGCAACCAACCAGTGTGGGTAAGTGTTGGTTACAGAAGTGAGCATCAACACACAAGACAGTCATTGACTACTGCTAAATACCTGCATTCAGGTGGCAACTGGAACAGTTACAGGAAATTAGTTGATGAAAATATGACCAAATGAATAAATCTGGAGCCTAATTTAACTGGGTCTCTATCCAGCTGGAACAGGGACTTGGGGATAGAGGCTTGAAGTCCCTGCTTTGAAAGGTGTGAAGGTAGGAAGATTTAAAACAAAACAAAACATACAAACAAAAACAACAGAGAGAAGGTCCTACCACCAGCCTCTGCTTCAACTGTCCCTCTACAGGCATCATTAAACAACTTTCAAGGATGGAACAAAAAATATTATCTGGACATAATATGAAGTGACATCTTTAGAAATGTGGAAACCTTTAACTTGAAGTAGAACATGGGAGAGTATCAAGGGGAAAAAACCAGATACATCAAAGAAAGAAGGGTACCTTGGAAAGGCAGGAAGATCAAACGCTATGTAGTATGTTTGATAAGAGTATTTAACTGCACTACTGGAAGATGGGGTTTAACTGGATAGGTACCAGTTCTCTAGAAAAGTACTTGAACTTAAGAGTAAACTGCAAACAAGACAAGCAAACAATGTTACACACCTCAGAAAAAGTAAACTTCAGAGTCTCACACACAGGATCTGAAGGAAACTTTTCTCTTTGCATTGATCAGTTTGAATACTCTCTCCAGCTTTAAGACAATGTAGTATTTCAAAATAGATGTAGACATTGTAGGAATGTCTAGAAAACATTGCGTATGATAAATTGAAATTTTGGGGTTGTTTACCCTAAAGAGAAGACCAAAGGAAACTTGACAGCAACTTTCAAATTTGTTAAAAGCTGCTGCAAAGAGAAACAGAATAAATTATTCTTTTTGTCCCTTGTGGGTAACACAAGAAATAATTGGCTTAAACTGAGGCAAGGAAGACTTAGTATGGATATTTGGAAAAAAACTTACTAGCAGCAAGGGAAGTTTAGCACTGCAATAAACGTCCACTGTGTCAGCTGAATCCCCAGTACTGGAGATGATGAATTGTAGTGACAGTTCAGGCAGGCATTGCAGCTGAGGTTTTGCAGCAGTGTGATTAAGAAAACTATGTACTTGCAGGCCTGTTTTCAGTCACACCAAGAGCTAGTCTGAACACCTCTGCATCACCTCTTAGCTGTTCTAAGACTTGAAGCCAAACAGTAAACATTCAAAATTGAAAAATTACTTTATTGCTCTTAGTTTACATAGTCATTGCACGTTAGGAACTGAAAGAGACATTTTAAAAACTTAGTCTGTCATTGCCAGTGTATCAGTTTCAAAGAACAGTTTTATACTGCTTAAAAAGTGTCAGTACTTTTACTTTTTTCAAGTCTGCCTCTCTATATTTTATCTGCCTCCTCATAGGACAGAAATTAAACTAACCTAGAAAACATTTAAATTATGTTTGATTTAAGTGATGTTTCTTTTAAATTATACTATTTAATTAGAATATAATAACATTATTTACATAAGATGATATTTACACATTATTATTTAATTATATAATTCAGTATTTTTTACGAAATTATGTTTTCACTGAAAATAGACCTTTTTCCATTGTGGTACACGCAAAAATTTCATGCTTCATCTGGTGAGAAATGTGGCTTTGCAAAGATTGCTACCCCTACACAAAAATACAATATCTACAAGGTAGCAGGCTTTGACAAAGTAAAAACATACACACTCAATGTCACAAAGCGTATATCGATTTTGTCATGTAGCTACAGTGCTACAGCATTTTTATGCTTAATAACTCCTAGGTTGTCAATGCCTGAGAAAGTGTATGATGAGTGATGTACTTTCTCACTGTTCCAGTCTAAGGCACAAAGCTAGGAACAAATTCTGAGACATAGGCACAAGGATTCCACCACTGCCCAACACATCACACACAGAACCTGCCACAAGTGAAGACACAGCTATTAAGTCTGAGAATAAAATTGAGTGAGGGCAGCCAAGAAGAGAAGGAGATGCTCTATCAGGCTTTGGGATTGTTAGAAATACAGCAATAGAAATATTTTATTAAACTGTAGCACTTTGCAATATTCTCATTCCAGCATAGTCATTTTATGTAAGTTCAGAGAATAATCTTTTGGAGTCCAATCTAGACACTGAGAAAAGCCAATAAGACATTTTAAAATACCTTCCTCTTATTCAAAATGGTTATAAGGAAAAATGGGGAAAGACTAAAAAGTGGGGTGAATATTTTATTATCTTGGCTTGAAAGTTGGATAGAGAAATGCAGGTTAAGTACAATTTCTTCTTGATTTAGCTGGAGCACAACATACTGAAAAGCAACCACGAAAATAGTTTCAATGAACAAAACTACTATTCAAACTAGGTTTATTGAAACAGTTTGCTATTTCCAGTCCCTTCATAAAAAAAAGCTGCTAAGATTCCATTTTATTAAGTGAGGTCACCAACCTGAGAAGTAGGAACAAGAAGATAAAAACACATCCTGAAGTCATTTATTCTCATGCACTACTTACATGGTCTCAAACAACTGCATGTAGTGTTCATCCCCACGTCCTCCTTCCACTTCATGGTCCAACTTCAAAATTATTTCATTTTCAAACTAATAAAGAAAGAAAAACCCAAATACTGAGCAGATATCCAGAGGTCAAACACATTTCAATATGGCATCAAAAGAATATCTTTGTATAGTTATATCACATATTCCCTACGGTTAAATGCTTGAATATATTCCAGTTGAATAATGCACATCTGACTATCTCCAGATACCTGTTTCTTAGTACAAACTGATAAAATAACCTGAGGGAACAGCCTTACAGTGTCTGTATTACAGGTTTTCATAGAACATCTCTGATGTGAAATGCAGGATTTCAGAGTAAGTAGAATCACTTTCACCCAGACAAAATACAAACAATCCTACAGTATGCAATACCTTCTTTAATTGCTATTTGTTAGGTCTATCTAGACCCTAATTAGGAAAGTGACATATAAACAAAGACAGCAAACAAGCTATTTTTGTAGTTAAGCACAATTCTTTCCCCCCTAGTGCATCATTTTTTTAATTGTACTTTACAGTTATGACACTGCTTCATTTGGAGCCATCAGCAGCCTTATTTCTCTACTTGTAAGGTCAAAAAGTACCTTTTCCCCCACTCTGAATTAAAAAAGAATCTATGCAGCCTGTGTGCATACAAAGAGAGAAAACCCTGTTAATATTTCTCCACTGGTCACACCTTGTTAGCTATCACTAATAAGCCAACTCTTAAAACTCCAAGGCTTCTAGGTTTCCCTTTATCCCAAAGTTAGCTTACAGAGAAGCACTACATCCCAGTCTGCACAGTCGCCCTTGAAATGTCAACCTAACTACTGGACTCAGTCATTCCTATAATAAATTTTTTGAAGCTGGGTATCTGAAGATGTTATCTATAGTATTTACTTGTCATTCCTGTTACACCCTGTAACAATCTCTCATATTTTCTTCGGGTATTTTTACATAATTAAGCAAGGGAACAATATCTCACAATACTCAGAAAAAGACAAAACCTATTTTCAAAGTTTGTCACACAGGTAAAGAAAAAGTTATCTGAGAAAATAATGCTAACCTGCAAAATTGTTACAAACATGCATGCAAATTGTCAATGACAATAGCTTGAACACCTTTAAAGTGTAATAAACTCTGGCAACATCTCTGGAGAATTTCTAGGTAATATACCATTAATATACCATAGTAATATATACCATTACCTCTTAAATAAATTGAAGTACATGTTGGATTATATTTTAACCCAGAGCTTTGCAGGATTGTGCCTTAATTACACCAAGTCTCTTTAAAATGTTATTGTGTTACTGCAATATAAATATACAATTGTAATTTGTCGTTTCAAAGCCTTTGCAATACATTATACACAGGGAACTGCTTTACCATTTTGAAAGGGTTAATCCAATCTAACATGTTTAGATCAGAATTTGTAATTAGTTTGCAATGCCTTTAGCATATATTATGCAGACTGCATTCAGGTCTGAGAAATTAAAACCGTGGAAACTATAATACATGTATAAGGTTTGTTTGGGGTTTTTCCCCTACCCTTTCTAAGCACCTTTAAGTATTAAGATTTGCATGTTCAAAAGCTGTCCTCAAATAGTTGGTATTTATGTATCATACTCATGACAGAAATACAGAAGATGACAGGGTTTTTTGTGTTATTTTCTAAATAAAAAATAAAAAAAAAAGTGGAACATTAAAAAAAAAAAAAAAGAAGAAAAAGTAACTTAAGCCAGTTGGAGATCTACTGGGAGAGGGTTCCAAGGAAAATACACCCTCATTAATATTGTCCAGTGTAGACCCAGACATTTTGAACCAAATTACTGGGTCTACTAGCCTGTTGCTGTCCTTCAGACATGATCTGAAACAATTAAAAAAAATAAAGTGTTTTAAAATAACCTGATATATCCATCTTGGAAAACAGGAAACTAATTAAAATTAATGTAATATAAAAATATCACATGGCAGAAAATATTTTAATTCAATAAGCTTAGCAGAAATTAATATTAAAATGCTGCAGGTTTTAAGATTTAAAAAAAAAAAAAAAATCACTAAAAGGCAGCCAGTCCACTAGTATAATTTTTCCTAAGCTTCAAATACTATATTGTGAAGAAGCAGGTATCTTTTTGCACCTGCAGCTTGGAAACTCAGCACAAATATCAGTACAACACCAATGGAAATCCCCTTCAAGGCAGAGTCATTCTTTTATTACCCAGTCTCTAGCTCTAACTGTAATGGGAATACTTTTTATACTCTCTGATTACCTAGGTCAGTTTGACCTTGTTCTGTGCTCAGCCTTTAAAGAATAAATTCATTGCTTCTAAGCCTGAAAATTTTCTTTGATTCTTCATTCTTTGACATCTCTTTTTGGCTTGTTATATGAAAATCTGAGAATTTATAAAAGCATTCCAAGATTCATCAGCTTGATTTATAGTCTAGGCTTTTAGCACTGCTGAAAGCCTGGACATACACACTTTCACTAAGCTTCCATTTCATTTGGGTATGCCCCCTGAAAGGAAGCGCGATACATGAATCTTGAAGTCTTAGTGCAGCTAATAGTCATTCTTTGGTATCATCCAATTAATTGTATCATGTTCAGATATCATCATATGAGAGAACAACTTTATATAGATTTGTAAAGAATCTGCATAGTTAGAGAATTACAAGTTTTTAATGTCAACACTTTTTTAAACTTTTCTAACGTGCCCGTCAATGTCCTCTTTAAGCAGTCACAACATCTCAATCCCCTCACCCCAAGATTTCTACTAAAATCTTTGAGTATCATATGAATGTATTACTCAGGTGTGGCAAAATTTATATTCATTTTTTGTTTCTAATATTTCATGTAAGTACTGAATGTTTCACATTGTTACATACAGTGTGGTGAGGTAGCAGAAAGGAAAGGCTGCTTGTTTATGTTTGTTCTATTGCCCGATGAGTCAACTAGAGAGACACTAAAAACCATAGATTGCTCATGCTCTGAGAGTAAGCGCACACGCTAGTGAGAGAAGCATGCAGAAGAGTGCAGATAAGAAGACATTTGAGAAAAGCAGGAAGCAAGTCTAAAAGAGACTTTTCCAGGTGCTAAAGAAAAAATTGTGTCCTAGTAAGATCTAGCTTCAGACAAAAAAACCTTGGCACAGTGTTTTCAAGAAGAGGTGGGAAAGATCTACCACAAGGTTCTAGACAAGCCATTAACCCATCAAGAGGCACAGAGAAAGCATTAGCAAACTAGGAGATCTACATTGAAATAAAGCTCTGTTGCTTTACATAGATATAATTACTAAAAGCACTGCAAAAATGACAGAGATTCACCACTGAACTAACACAGCAAATTTTCAAGTTTTTCTTTCGCACAAAATTTCACACAACTTTCAGTATATGAATAGTTCTGTTTTCTCCCTGGAGTGTTTCTGTGTAATTGAGAGCTTTGGCAAACTGGGATCCAGATCATCCCGTCAGAGAACGGGAAGCCTTTCATGGTAGAAAGAATTACTACAGTATTTTACATGTGGTACTATCAGATAACTGCAGTGCGAGATATTTTTCCTTACTTAAATATATCCTCACCAAAAAGTTCAGCCCTGAGCTGAAGAAGCCAAGCCCAAGGCTACATATAACAAAATAGTTCTTCCCCTTAGGAACACCAAGCATGCAGATCATGCATATCTGCAGACTTATGTTTTGGAAGGGACAATTCCTTCAGCTGTAGAGAACATGACATTCTAACTGAAAACATGTTACTACATGTACTTCCTTCAAGTAGGTCATGATTAAAACTCTCCAGCCAGAAAAATTACTCAGTGTTTTTCAAGAACAAAGACCAAGCATCCCCATTTTTCTCCAGAATATTTGATATCCTTTATTTTTGTCCTGAGATTCAGCTAAACAGGACCAGCAAATGTCAAAGATAAGAGTTATTCCAGATTATAAACCAATCAAATTATTTTGCCCCTAAAATCAAGTGCAATTATATTAAAACAGCTTCTTAATGAAACAGATTTATAAGCTACATAATATGCCAAAATCTCTATTTAAACATTGTTAGATCTACCCCTGAGAGCAACAAAAAAACCCCACCACCAAAAAAACCAATCCGCACTGTATTCAAATTTAGAGGTTTAAGTTAACTGACAGATGTTACATGCTCACTACCCATTCACTGTAGAATTTCTCAGGTTTCACCTTCTCACAGCAATGAGTACCATTCCATACTGAGACAGAAGAACTAGCAGGATTACTCAGCCAGTATTCATCAAAGACAGCAGGAAGCCATGCATCCAACCCCAGATCTACTGGGTTACCCTGAGATTGCAAAATGCTCTTTAGACAGAAGAGTGAAGTGGGCTGTTGCTTCTTTCAAGAAGCTTTGAAACACTGTCTTGGGTGGCTTAACTTACACTCATCACACAAAAAGCAAAAAAATAGGTGCTGAAAATTAGCCAATACAGATGTACTCCTCTCTAGAAGGGGCAGGGAGGAAGAAACAATTTCAACCACTTCATATTTCTCAGACCAAGTCAAACCAGCAAAACCACAGCTGTAAATGCATGAAACCAAAACTGTTCATATGATTATAATGCAGCAGACAGATATGCTTCAAATAGAAATATTTAAACACTTCACAGTGGGTTGATGTGATACCCAAGAACTTGTATCCAAGTTGTGTACACACTATACAATGGCACAGACAGGCAACTTCTCCAGCTCAGCACCAGGTATAGTATATTTTAAGATGACTGAGTAGGAAAGTAGTGTTCACAAAACCATGAATAGTACTGTTGTAAATGGACATAGAATGGTTAAAATACTCTGCTGTCTGGATGAAGGAGAAAATATGTTGCTATTTATTATCAGTGAGATGTCTACATATAAAAGGTCATTGCTGAATGTGAATTTGCAAACCTGTATAGTATGCAAATGGGAAACATCAATAACAGTATAGGACTAACTGCAGCAGAACTGAGCAGCACGCAGCCATCCAGTATTTCAGCAGAAGCTGGCAGTAAATGTTTCATCTCTGTGGCGTACGAATAGGCTCTACACTGCTCCTCAAAATACTTAATGACTTCAGATCTCTGAGTCTGCATTTAAGAGACGCTTCCCACAATGTTCCAGAGAAAACTATACATTGTTCAGGAGAAACAGCAGTCCCATTTTCTGATTTGAGTAGAAGGAAAGGACTACTACATTAGTACTATTTCTTAACTATTTTTTAATAGAGGTGTCAAATAAGAGGGAACCTTATTTTTTCATTAAAGACCACAAAGAATTTTGGTTTGTTAGGAATACCAATACTCTGTGATCCAGAACAATTCTTATCCTATCCAGGCATTTTCTAGAGCTGAAGTCTGTGGACTTACTGCAGCGAGACAGAAATCTGTGAATATAGTGCAAGTCAAGCACCAGTTAAAAATCATCCACCTCTTAAATCCTTCCTAGTACTTATTCAGCAGGTAAAGAATTGATTACTTCTCTAAGAGGCAATAATTTCACAGATGCTGGATCTGAACAAAAAACCTCTTCCTAAGCATCTTTCCTGCAGTTTCTCAAAAAGCTGCAAACTCCCCCCCCCCCCAGCTGCTTGAACCAAAATAAATAAAAATCTGGCAGAAATATAGAAAAAAATTTAATGTGTCTGTGCCAAGCCCTGGGAAGGGTATTTCTCCTCTAACTTGAACTGAGTGTGCCTAATTGTCATTGGCACCAATTTGGCTTTAAAACCATCTGCTTATCTATCTAATAGATCCAAGAAATCTCCACATCTGTGAACAGACTTCAATACCAAACCACAAAACATCTCCATTTTTTACACATGGATGTGTCTGAAGCACCAAGCCATACAAACTCGGTTTCTGCTAATGGGATGATCTCACATCCTTCTGAAATCCTTATGCATAATAAAATTTCAAGAACTGAGAGTAAGAAATATGGGTATTTATCACACATGCCAGAGGAGATTGCTGAGAACACCTATATTCACTCAGTAACATTTAGCTCAATGGCTCAAAAAGATACGAGACTCCAATAGGTTCATGAAGAATAAACATCTATCCTCTAACTCTATCAATAACTATGTAAGGCCAAGAACACACCAGAAACGTAGAAAACGTTTTAGTAATGTCAGTTCTTCACAGTGGTTATTTTTCTCACAATAAATATTTAGAAAAGTTACGAGTTTCTGGAGAAATCTGATAATATATAATTAACTATTCACTACTACTTCTGTCAAATATTCTGTACTAAAAATTGGAAGTTTTGGCTTATCAATATCTATGTCACAAGGAAGGGGTATAATGAAAAAATTAGATTAAAAAGGTCTGACCTTAGAGGTCATTTAATTCTACCTCCTACTTACTTCAATGTCATGACTTATTGCTCAGAACCTTTTTCAGTAAAATTTTGAAAATTTTGATAAAGATCCTGCAACCTCTCTGGACCCCTATTCCAGCATCTTACTGCTGTCGTTGTGACAAAAGTTTTACTTAACTCCAACTAAATGACTCTGGAGAGCCTACACTCGCACAAGAGCTATTCCTTTTGTTCTTAATATGTTGGATTTTACTTTCTGTAAGCAGAAAAACCCATGCAACACATATTTACCAGAAAGAAACTGACCATATGACATTTTAATGAATTTTCACACAGTGTATTTTTAATTACCTTTTTGAATTCTCCTGTCCTTTGATATTCACACACCATCATGTCAAAGAAAATGGGGATTGTGGCTTTTCGTAGTTCAACTTCTGGAATAAGAGTCATTTCCAAGATAGGTCCAACCATCCCCGGAATAAAACAAATTTTATTCTGGCCTGAAACAGAAATGCAAATTAGGTATTTGAGAGGAGAGGAAAAAAAAAATTAGGAAAACATTTAGGACATACAATCATTTAAAGCAGTGTTTTAAACCATCTATCTTGGTAAAGTTTGACAATTTAGTCACTCATCTCTATTCCTTCTCAAAAGCTGAAAGCATGTTAATGACTTTAGTCTCATTTTAAGATGCCAGAATTCAGTGCCAGAAATAAGCATGTATGCCAGCTGAGTTGAGATTTTCAGTGAACATTTCAGTTTTTCAGCTTTTGACATCTCCTTTTAAATACTCAGAGTAGAAAGTAATAAAAAACCCTAAGAGTCCCCGAAATTCTATCAGTAGGAGAGCGCCACACAATAATGCCACATGGTGTAACCTTTCTAGCTTACAAAAGAGAAAACTATTACTTGCTTTCATTTCTGAATAAAGTCAAACATTGCAACCAATAAATCAAACCAACCAATGCATCAAACATTGCAAGCAATAATAGAAACACTATCTACACAACTCAACTTCTAAAACCACACAAAATTGTCCTGTAGCACAACTGTTACATCAGCTGCCAACAAACATCCAAGTCTGCAAAAAACTCAACCAGGTACAAGATGTTCTTCAAATGCTGCTTGTTTCTTGGGGAAGAAAAACATTTGATATGTGGAGCAGACAACCAGCAAAATCCAATGACCTGCGTAAGACCTGCCTAAAGCTTGTAAGAAGATAAAAATATTCTCATAAACAAACATGGCTAGACTTCTTCCATAACTAAAAAGTATTCTGATTCTGATTTTACTTGTATATGGGTGCCATACTAACTTAACTCTAAGCATAACTGAACTATGACTTCAACTGTTTTACGCAACATTATTTTTTCTTCCAGTCATGTTGATTAAAATCATTATTAATCCTAGTTAAATAAGATTGAAAAGAATCTTATGACAACTGAATAACTTCCAATACCTATATGTATTACACCTTACAGGTCTGTAATTTTTAAAAAACACAGAAATTCATGTATTATATATCTATCCATTCACCTCAAAAAATCTTCACTCTCCCAAGCAATCCTCTCACGAGTGGAAATAGAGAAACTTTTAGCTAAATGATAGCAATACCTATTGCTTGACCAAGAGACTAATCTTACACTTAAAACCAAAAGACCTTAGCACACAACTTTATTTAAACAAATACATAAATAAAATTTTTAAAAAATTAAAACTTATAAAAGGCTTTCTGAAGACTATCCTGCCATCAGCAACTGTTACTTCCATTTCAGGAATCAAGAATAACACCTCCTCAAACCTCACAATGACTGAATGACTGAAATGGATGAAGGAAGATAATCTGCCCCAGAGAACAAGGCAATGCAATTTATAATTTGAAAGGCACTTTAGAGGTCACAGTTGAGATTCTTTGACACGCGTTTGCCTGTTTCAATCTTGCTGTATATGTATCCCTCAAATGTGGTTTATACTTAAGATACTCTACAGCTTTTCAGAATGCAGATTCCTTTTTCTTAAAGCTAGAAGGAGACTGGAAATTATAGAAAATAAATGGAAGGGGCATTTATTATTAAGTGAGAATTATTGCATATTAGTTTGAAACATTTCTCAATCTGTATGCCTCACTTTTTCCATTAGGTATGTAAGACAATATTATTTAAATAAAGTAATAATGCATTTGGATATTAGAAAACAATCTTTTGGTCTTCAAAATTATGCTAGACAAAGATGTTAAAGGCCCTTACATTTTTATAAAGCCATTGTGTTTACTGTTTTTAATATGGACTCTCAGATTCAGCCTGAGTAGGATGCAAGCAGCAATGTTTTTAATATGGACTCTCAGATTCAGCCTGAGTAGGATGCAAACGGCAAATCTCAAATACACACAAGTGGAAGAGTGCTTCTGCAAGATCTGTTGTACTTTGTAGTAAAATGAAAACTGAAAAGTTTATTTTAAGAAACAGATGTTAATGGTTCTAGAATCAAGAGTTCATTTGAAAACAATTTATTTCAAATTTACACCTACCACTATTAAAAAGGTCAATGGTGTTAAACTAGAAAATTAATAACTGAAAACAGGTTTGAGAGTTCACCAATTAATCAGCAAAAGTATCAAATCCTTTAAAATCTTGTCTACATCTTTTTGATATGTCAGATTATACTGATGCATTAAAAAAAAAATTCTACTAAAAAATACTAAAAGACAAAATTTAAGAAAAAAAAGATTGAAAGGGGTGTATGTCACCAGAAGCAGTATGTGCAAGGTGATAAAAACATTTAAAATCTCCACACAAGCACTGATATGCTGGTACACCTAGGAAACTAGAAAGTTTAATAGAGGTAGAGAAAAGAAATTTCACATGTCCTAATAGAAGAACTTTGCAAAAATTTTCCAAGATAAAACAAATATTCTACATAAGTTGAGTTAATAAGAAACAATCCCTTTCAGTGGACTTTGAAAATCATAGTTCGCTTCCTTGTGTAACAATATAGGGTGATGTTATGGTCTCTCCATAGCTTATTTTACCTTGCAACATTGCTGTATCACAGATTCAAACACACTCCAAAACTTACTTGACCAACTCATGGGTTAGAGGAAAGGTAACTAGTGGAACGTGAACACACTAAAAGGAGAAATGTGGAATTACCGAGGGAAGAAAATGCCCTCATTTGGAGATAATTTTTCTTTGCAATAAATATGGTATATCAGGGAGACAGGGATGTGTGCTGCACTACATTGTCTTTATGAATAAAACAGTAGATTATAGAGAAGAGGAAAGCACACAACACACTATCTGCATTAATTCTGTATGTTGATTTCTGTACAGAATAAGCTGTATGCTTATTCCATGCTCAAAACTGAGGAGCTGTCCTTCACTGATAACACTGACACTATCCCACTGGACATTCCATTCTGGTATAAATTTCTGAATAATTTTTTACTCTTTAACCTAATAGGGCCTTCAAAAGACTTTTTTCCCCTCAATATATCTTGGCAAAGCCTTGTTGGAATTTTTGCATAAGTTACAAAACATTCACTGGAAGAGAAAAGAAAGATGGATCTCTCCTTCCTGGCCTCAGAGAAGCTAAGGTTCAAGTTCATCTTCAAAATCAATCACAAAAACCATCTTCAATATCCTTCAGCATAGCTTAACTATTGGGTTAGAGACTTCACCAGCCCACAGAAAGAAAATAATGTCCTTCTATGAACAGAAACTTTCCTGCAAAGTCTAATTTAAATAAAAACTTTTAAAAAATTTGCCTAAAAATTTAAATAGAAAATTCCTCAATCAACTCACATACAGAATGAACAGAATGCAAAAACCTGGTTCATCTGTACAGTTACTTTGCCTAGCAGGTCCTTGAGATCAATAAATTGTGTAGTTATGAAGTTCTTAACATTCTTCATATTCTGCTTATGACTACTTGGTATTTAGTTCAGAATAAATTCTGCCTCCCTTTCACTCCCAGCCAATCACTTTAAATGTTGCTTTGTACTCACGAAGGTGACCCTTTGTATTCAAGTTTTATTCAAGTATCTTCAAATTTTGGATAGTGTGGGTATATTTTGGCTAAAATTTTGGTAACATGCAAAAAAATATTGATACTACTGGAAAAACATGCTCTTTTATTGCAGGCACTGGGAAGAGTCCACACCATTTTTAAAATACAAACTTCCGATACATAGAGATTACACAAGATTTCCTGAATGAAATGACTGCATTTTAGCTGAGTCAGAACAACAAGGACCTCAGGAAAAAGGGAAAAATGCTATTAGCTTATGCTCAGCACTCCACTGAAGTGGCACATAGGAACAAAAGACCAGAACTAGCTTGTAGTGAAGAGATCTCAAATGGACAGAATGGCTGTAAAGCCTTTTTCTCTGTCTTTTCTCTGTTAATAAAATGATGAAATCTAGTCTTTTCATGATTAACTGTCTGAAATGTGCCATTCAGCTTGCATTTCAAAGTATAATCATGGGTATCATCATAACTGTCATCATTGTGCATTTCAAAAAACCTCTATAATATATATTTTCATAGAACAATACATTGTTGTTCCCTTAATTATGAACTCTCAAAGGAGCAGTAGGAGAACATGGCTGTACAACAAACATAAAAACATTTTGGAATTTTAATCCAAACAGATTACAAATCTGAGCCTACTAACTTCTGGAACTGTAGATTCAGACTGAGCAGTAACCTTCTCAGGGAAAATTTATCTGGTTCTCAACTTCAGCAGAACAAGGTTACTGAAATCAGAAGATTTCAGCCATCTTTCAAATCTGAGAGAAGGCTGTGAGTTCTCTTAGAAACAAAAAATTGGCAGCAGTCAAACAGTATCTCATGTCAGTTCCAAGCTTAATCACAGGAGTGAAAATGTATGTTAAGTTCAAATAGCAGAAATATTTACAAAAGCGCTTAATGTCAGATATTTTTCAATGAAACAAGCAATATGCTATGGATTCAGTTTCAATTAAGTTCACTTGCCTACTCACCAAGTTTGTACCACATGTCACGGATAGCAAAGCCAATTAAGCGTCTCATATCTCCATATCTAGAAAAAAAAGAGATATGAAAGGTATTTTTATCATTATTTTTGTCACCATTTTACTACAAAATTAATGACATAAGCTGAAGTATACATTTTTGCTTACTTGTTCTGTATTTTGTTGTATTTTGCATGGGAAAAGTTTTCTAGCTGTAGTGAATCTTGGGTAATAAAAGCCACAGCCAAATGAAAATAGTTGTTCCACAGCTGTAAATTGAATATAAGGAAATTATAATAGTTTTGAGAAAAGCAGGAATAACATTGAACTATGCACAATGCTGAATAATTTATGAAACAGAATGATGCAAGCAATATGAGATTTTTATATTATGCATAGATGTACATCATTAGTATTATGCAATTAGCGGAAAAGCAAGGAAGATGAATTTTAATAACCACTACTACACATTTGCTCCTAA